TCCACTTATCGAAGACTCCGGAATCAATTATTAATCTGGGAATTCCAATCTCCTTTCGCGCCATACATGGGGTTATTAAACGTGATAAGGATTACCGACGTGAATGTGTAATCGCAAGGACTGATCGCGATCGAGAGATTTTCGAGAGATTTCAATCTCGGCGGGACTCGCGACAATTCAGGACCTGCCATAATTGGCGAACTCATTCCCTGAGTACACGGTTAATAAGCTACCGTAATGAGAGTGTGGTTATCGAGGGTACTTCGATCTCGATTGGCCGTGGAGTAACGGGGCGAGCCCGTCTAGAATCCACGGATCAGTCGGTGGCCACTCCTGCGCCAGAAGTGGACTGTCGGTAACGAGTCGGTAGTTTCTCGGTTCTAATTAGCAATTAGAATTAATCGGCCCGGCCCGCGGCGAATGGCGAATGGCGGCCTCGCAAAGCGTGCCCACGCCGGTAGGTGCACGCGCATTCAATTATCTTCTATATGAATAATATTACGCCCGGTGAAGAGGAGGGTCGGCCGAAAATCGATCCCGCGCGGCGTGGGCTTGGCGCGCTGACTCTACCGCGAAGCGACACCTGAGATTCCTCCGCATTCCCCTGTTCCCATTGAAATTCCACATAGATCTAAGCGCACATAAAATCGAAATTCCAAAATCTCAACGCTACGCACATGCAAGCTCAACCATTTCTGACACACTTATGAACGGTACCGTGCACAAACTATCCGAGAATAATTACATAAAAGTATATTAATATTAATTGATCGATGTCAACCAATCTTTGCACGTCCCTACAGTGGATGGAGCTGCAAAGAGGGAAAGGTCGATGCATCCTCGAGGCGCACCATATGTACTTGCCACGCGACTCTACCTTTTCAAGAATAATTTTATAAAAGGAGGATTAATGGGATACTAATTAATCATCTTTGCATCTTCTCCGGGGTGGATGGAGCTATATAGGGGGGGCCCGAAAATCGACGCATCCTCGAGGAGCACGCGGCATGCACTTGGCACGCGACTCTACTCCGCGCCTACTCGAACGCAATCGAGCGCTATGGAGCCGGTTAACACTCTATTAACACTAACGACGCTCATACATAACATCGGTCGGCATAACGGGCTTGCCGAGGAATTTATGGTCCGTTAATGGGGGTTACTTTATGCGTTGCGGCGCGTGTAGTCGTCGTCTCGGCGGCAGGTAGTGACGTAAATTTTACGAGGCCCACCCCCCGTTTCTCTGCACTTCTGCCATGCAGTTCTCCACGACGGAGGTGGCGAGGTCGCGGAAGCGGAGGACGCCGGAAGCGTGCGAACGGAGTTACCATGCGGCCACCATACGACATAAATCCACAGGAAAGAAGGGAAGGATATCCACTATGGGCACCACACATGGGACGTGATAAATGTATAAATTTACAATAATATCAATTTTTAAGCAAGTGACTCGACATTCGAAATTTCTCTTTCACCGTCCGAGGCTGATTAGCGCGGCGATTAAATATCTCGGTGAAGAAAATTCGATGTTTATTGAATTTCCAATTATTTTCCAGAAGCGCGATTCATCGACCGAGGTATAGCGCAACACCGATGCATCGATCGAGGCGATCTACCGAGGGTCGATGAAGAGCAAACCCTGAAGAGGAGAGGGGACCCCTTCGGGGTGCGTATCCAGACGGGGAGGGCAGGTGCAGGTGGGCTTAATTTCTCATAAACGGCTTACAAACGTTCCTCGAAAGTTGCAGCAAGCTTACCGTGCTCGAGCGGTGCCGAGTCGAGTGCCAAAGTTCATCGTGAGATGGCGCCCTCCTCACGGTTAAAGGAGACGCGGCAAGGCCGGTAAAGTGATAAAGCGGCCATAAATTCCGCCCGCCCGGGCCCCGCCATAGCCACCTTCATGCCGGCACTAGGATGCTCCCTTTCCCTCGTGTCCTCTCTTTCTCGCCGTCACTCGGCGCATCGCCTCCTCTCTCTCTTTCTCGTCCTCGCTCGGCCCGCGATTCGTGCCAGCTTCGTCCGAGTGACCCATCTGCCTCGCGGAGGCCTGCACCTGTAACAGCGATCCCGCTCGAATTAGGGTGAACACTCGGTGCACCAAAGAACGACGACGCGGGTGCTTACCTAGAGTGCGAGGGCATGCAAGATGCACTTCCAGCTGCACTTTTCCAATCGGGCGTCCTAGAGACCGACCGACTCGCCTACGCCACCTTCCTCTCCTTGGGGAGAAGGTTTAAAAAATATATATAAAAAATAGATCCAGCCACGAGTTACCGAGCAACGTCCCTCTAAATGTTTTTAAAAACCAGCCGCGCGAGGGAGCGTCAGATTTCAAAGCTCTGAGACGCGGAAAGGCCGGCAAAGTGATAAAGCGGCCATAAATTGCGGCCGCCATTTCCGCCATCATGCCGCCGCAGGGGTGTCGCTTTTTTCTAGCCTCTCTTTTTAACCCCTCTCTCGATACGCTTCTCCCTTGTCCTCCTCTTCCCTCTTGCAGCGGCTCCTCGTGGGACCGAATATCTGCCCCTGTAACTCGAAACTTTAGGAATTAATAAATATTATATTCAATTATGTAGATGTAAATAAAATTCTGTGATGAGACGAGTGATCTCACCTGGGGTAGGATGATGAGGCGACTCTGAATGCATCTTGTGGGTCCAGATGATGTGCGGTATTGTCCAGCTCTTTGGGGGTGTAGATGGGGAGGTCCCGCTGTAATTCCTTCTATGGCGTCCCTTCGTCCCCTCTGACTTGTCGGTTATAAATCGATTCTACGGCTCGCGATGAGAACTTAATCGAGAGACCCGATGCCATGCTCGCCGAGAGGAAGGCTTCTATTTTTCAGCCGGAAACTCGAATCGGACTCGAATGATCGATGCGCTCATTGAATCTACTGTAGCGCACCGTCGACGAGTAGGGTAGAGAGTAAGGATGCTCGATGATGTTGTGATAGCCGGTGATGTATCGATCGGTAATGTTTCGCGCAACACGCCGACAGAACGTGCAAGGCAGAATTATTGCGAGTCCCGTGATAAATGGTGTACCTGCGCATGTATTGTGTTTGCAAAATTTATAATGGGATTTAATAATGAGAGGCCCGAGGAATATTAAATTACGAGAAGTGCGCCCAGCATCCGATGTATCTCGATTTTCGGCCATCGTCTGATAGTTTGACTGGGATAAATATATTGAAATTCACTGAACTCGTACATCCAGGAATTAAGAAAAATGAAGAAAAGTCATCCAAACAAGGAAACCAGGCATCGTCGAGTACGTGCAACACCGACCAGGGGATTCTTCCAAAAATCGGGCGTTTTCTCCTTTAATTCCGCGTGACATCGAGAAACGCTTCCTGAGAAACTTGTCCGGGACTGGGTGGCGAGCAAGTTTCATTCGAGCCAATTTCCGCCATCTTGCCTAGGTGCGGCAGGAAATCGAGTTAAACACGGCAGCGCGCGTGACAAAGAGCCCGAGGTCCTCCGGCCTCGCGTGAAGTCTTCCTACAAGTTTCCGGCGATACTCTCCTTCTCCATAGGCGTAGAAGCGCCTCGACAATGGCACGGACAGCTGTCCGAAGGATTTCGGAGGCGAGCACGGATTAGGCATTTCTGGAGAGTAGGCACGGCATGTTCGGCGCTGCCGGGGCGAACAGACAGAAAACCCAATAAATCATCCCGTCACGAGGCATGAGCCAAGGCGGAGCTTCTCGCCTCGTATTAGCCAATAATAATCCTCTCCGAGGTGGAGGCCATCTTGGATTGTACGATGGTTCCTTCCGCCGTGGAACGAGGGAACGCAAACCCCGACGTCGAGGCACCCCTTGGGTCGGGCTTCCCAGGGGCGTCGAATTCCACGTGAAACGAAATTTCCACATTTCCCTATTTCCGATTTTCAACCAACATCCCGACGAAGGAACGCATCCTGCGATGTGCCACATTGTTAAGAAAACATTCTAACCCAAATGAGCAAAAAATGTACGGAGAATGTAAAAGACTGACATACAGAAATTTCACGGGACGTTTTAAAAGAAATGAAGAAAAGAAAAAGAAAAAAGAATTAGCAAGATTTTCGGCAATCCAATTTTGCGACTCGCTTTGCTGTTAACGTATTGCGGAACTTCTGGACACCCACAGGACGCTAGTCATATTCAACCACAATTTATTTCTCGTTTTCAAACACAGTTATTATAATTAATATCATTATTATTAATATGGACAGACTCTTATATAATACAATACGGTTTCGACTCGTCGAAATAATAGTAAGTAATACCATTATCGTTATCAATTGCCGCCGTCGTAATACACGTTACACCGTTATGCGGCTACGGCCGGGTCGTCGTCGTCGTCTCGGTCGTCGTCTCCGTCGCCGTCACCGTCTCCGTCGCGCAATCCTTATTACCTCGTAATTTAATGTGTACACTTAGTTTACATACTGCGGGACACTACAAAATAACTGTATACGCTTCACTGTTTATCGTAACGTCGTATTCTGTATTTATACATATATATCCATATGTATTTATATATTTATATATATAGATTCATTTATTTATACTTTTGTTGCTTTATCAGTAATCGTTCGGTAAGTAATGCGCACCTACGTATCTCGGCATGTAGACACCTAGAATTTTGTTGCATCGTTTCTTCGCGTATGCGTGCGTACTCGTTAACGAAAGGACGCGTATATCAATTTTTCTCCTCTTTCTTCGATTTTAGATCGCGGAGCGTCTACAAACTGGGTTCTCTCCTCATTCTCGGCAGGGCAATTTCGCAGGAATTTCAAATTAAATGGCGCCCGTGTGGGGTAAAATCTTCCCGTTTCCTAATGGCCAAAAAAAAAAATCAGTAGTGAAATCAACAACTCCGAGTGGGATTAAATTAGCTATTTAATGATCCCTTTCGGCGTGCACGTGGATCCTCAGCAGTGGATTCGACGTTTTCAATTATACATTTTTTTTTTCAGATTTGTCATTTTCGCCCATCACGGGGCCATTTCTGCTTGTATTTCTCTCTTTTTTTTTTTTTTTTTATAGGCGGTCGATGACGCGGCGGCGCTCGTAATATTGTCTTCTCTTACTCTAGCTGTCGATTAATTTAATACGAATCCCCCCTCGTCATTTACAGGACACCCTGTAATAAATAGTATCATAGAGCTCCGGCTACTGTACTCCGAAATGTATTCTAGGGAACAGGTACCTACTTTACCTACACGGTATCTCGTATACAGGGTCGCGGCTCGCGATTCGATACCACGACGTCAGACGTCGCCGTTCGCATTGCCCTGCCGATAAACAGAACTCTTACCTCGAAATACAGTTTCTCGATCGACCGGTCCTACCTTCCGTCCTACCAGCAATGGAGAATACCTTCAAAGGGTTTACCGGCAACAAAAGCCCCCGCGAAGAGCGCTCGACCGAAAATAACGCCTCGAAAGAATTCCCTCAAACTCCGGACCGATTTCGATCTAAAAATACGGTATCCAAAACGACAATTTTCCGAAATCACTGTATAAAACCTTAGCCATACTTTAACGGTATCACCCGAGCTGTACACAGGAAGCGTCAGAAAGGATTCTCAAAAAGGTAAGACGGAGAGTGAGAAGCAAAAGGAAAATAAAGGGACATCGAGAAACGGCGATTCGATCGACGGTGCGACATCGCGATTTCTTGGGGCAAATCAGTCGCGATCCGCCATCTTGATTAAGAGTGATTCCTTTATTATTATTTTTTTTTTTCAATTTTACGAGATATGGAACTCGGGAAGGAGTTCCGCCCCGAGGCGACTGTTTTGCCCCGCACTGAGACGGGTGCAATTTTTGAGTATATCAGTCTCTTAGCGAGGTGGAGTCCCTTGAGGCCGCTCGATCGGCTTATCACCTGCGCGATAAGGTCGACCTCGCGAGGCCTCGGTGCCTCCACCTCGGCGGAAAGCGCATCGGACGTAATCGAGTACAATGCCGTTAAGTAACGACCGTCTGAAAAAAGGAGACATGGGAAAGAACAATAAGAAAAAAGGGGGAAAAAAAAGGGATATCAGGGGAACCGTCGATTCCGTAGCTGCACAAAATTCAGGGTTCTCCGCGAGTGACACGCATCCACATCCCCTCGGCGATTCCCTATCGAACGTAACTGCTATATTCGGACTAGTTTGGAACGAGTTCGACTATGGTCTCTCACCGGCTATCAGAGTGCGCCTATGCGCGAGTTAGCTTGCGCGGTACTTATCAGTGAGGAGGAAAATCGGCCCTGGTCTTAAGTTCTCGGTCCTGGTCTCGTAAAAAGTGCGCTACCTAGGCCAAGAGTAAGTCCTGGCGATATTGGCAAAACCAAGACCAAGACCGCAAGACCAGGTCGGACTTTGCTCATCTCACCGGTACCTATAAGGCCGGCTGTAGCGGGTCTCGCGATCACCCCTGACCTCGCGATAATCTGCCAAAGACGGAGTTCAGGGCCGCCGGGAAACGGAAACGGGGTTGGCCCGGAAGCTGGGACCTTCCTCCGGGTCCGTCGGATTTCGTACATAATTCTAGGCATACGCAACTAGCGACACCCGCTGGGAAACGGCAGCAGGGCCAGGAACTCATCGGCGTATGCGCGAGCGAGGACGTGGCTTAGATTTCCCCGATTTATCTCGATTGATTCCCTACTTCTTCCGAGTACCCGAGGATCGAAAATGGCCGCCGACGACCCGGAAGTCGACCGGGAAATTTTGACACCGACCTCGCGCCGCTCGTTTCACGGGTTAATAAGTAATCATCCTCGATTGAAAGGAAAATACGACGTGAGATCGAGCGGAAGTCCAGTGACAATAATTCGAGGGAGGAGAAGAAGAAAAAAAAAGAGAGTCAAGAAAAACGAGGAACGAGAGAACGTCGTCGGTCCTTACCGGGGGAGGTGAGAGCTCGCAGTACAGATACATCGCAAGGCAGTGGTGCGTTGTAAAAAATATTTATTACACATTCGGTGAAAACAAAAAGGGGAAAAAGGTCCACTTTGTAAGAATATATAACAGGTTATTAATAAATACTACGCAACTAAATAATAGCGTTGAAGACAGGCCAGTAGCTACGTCTCGCCGCGCGTCGATAATTCACTCGCTAAAAGAGTCCCGTTGGCGTTTGCGGGCCACCCCGATAAAATATTAAATTTATGTACACCCCCCGCAAACCCCCAACGAGCCGTCCTCCTTTCACTAGTTACGCCGTGATCCCCCTCCCCTCCTCCTACGGAGTTTACATGCGAATGGGAATTTTCACTGCAATCGGTTAGTCGATCTTCGGATCCGCCAAATTTTGTCCACCACCGCCCCCGCCCGCTGCAACCGACACGCCTGTGTGTGTGTATTGTTTGTTTTTTTTTTCTTTCTTAACCCTAATCCTTAAGTTTTAGACTTTAGACGTTAGCTTATCCCTTAGGCTCTAACCCTAATGACACACCTCCGTACGTACGCATTTCTTCGTTTTCGTTAACCTCTACTTTACATACATCCACGGTACTTGCGTATTTTTTTGCTTTAATTAATTTTAATTACGTATATCTGTATTTACCTTTTACGCGGCTATATACGAGTAGAGATAAAATATATAATTTGCATTTATACTTTTAGTTTTTAAACCTACGAATCCTTTTCCCATTCTCGGTGTATTCTTTTTTTCTTCCGCGTTGTATCTATAGAAGCGGGACGAGGACGCGTATTCGCGAGGCGAGCCCCTCGGCTGCGGTGCCAGTGCGCGGCCGACAGGGAAGGGGTAAAATGGGCGTGGCTAGCCAATAGTCCGGCGTGCCGATTGGCCGCTTCCCCTGGAGCCAAGGGCCGCGCAGTAGCGCCGACCGAGGGGCTCGTTTTCTCCAGGAATCTACGTCCACGGCCTACGTATGAGGAATTATTTAATATCCTGGGGATATAGAAAATTGTTTACGTACATTGGGTGTCTCTCGGCCACCGCTCGCTGCGACTGGTCGGATGCTCGAGGCCGGCCACGTCACCGAGATGCACTTTCCCTTTATTTTTCCCGACTCCTCGCAATACTATTGCACTTTTCCGCAACCCATTTCGTGGAAATATTTCCCTAAGTTTTCGACCGAACGGTGAAAGAGACCACTCCAAAATGTCCAACCCGAAGTGCAAGAATGCTCCCGCCATCCCATGCAGTTATTTCCCTACCTTTAGGAGACAATCACGGTATACGAATCCCATGATGTCGATGTCGCGATCAAATCGGAAAAGGACGAAAAACGTCATCGACGGGTGACATGGCAGACTCGATCGTGTCTCGAGAGCGTCTCGAAGCGAGCGGAGGCTTCGGATTTTCCTTTTTTAACATTTCGTTGCGCATCAAAAATCGAAATTACATAAATAAATCTCTCGAGAAAGAAAGGCCGGTCGTGCTCGATGAACGCGCGCGCGCGAGCTGGACCACGTTTTACGTATATCAGTTCTATGCGTCATTATACAAAGTGGGGAGGGGACGGGGCACCGAGGTACCCCAAAATACTTCGCGACCCTATAGATCCTCATCTCCGTTCGCTCTCCTCTCTCTCTCTCTCTTTCTGTCTCTCATCCTCTCGCGCTACATGCACCCGCTCCCATTCGCTCTTTCTCTCTTTCTCTCTCTCGCGCCATCTTTAAATAGAATATGCGTCTCTCGACGGTACATTATTTCATTGCGTATATCGTAATCGCGTACAATAAACTAAGTGTCGAACTAATTTTACAACACAGCACAGAATTCGCCGCGGCGCCATTCGGCTGCCGAGAGCCGAAGCCACCGGTTCGCCCCCTTTCTCTCTCACTTTCGTTTTCCCCCGTGCCTCTCCATTTCCCGCGATTTTCCCGGCTCGCTGCGACCCGATAACGCGCTCGCGACGATCGGTCGATTGATCGATTCCTCGATCGAATCGGTTCTTCCCGATCGCGTCCGCGGACTGCTCGGTCGGACCGGCGACATCGGTCTGGTGGAAATCACCCGCGATGCCCGAGAAACAGTAAAAAAAAAAAGAGCACGTAAAAAGATAAAGAGACTGGAATTACATAGAAATTTCCTCTCCCCCTCTCCCCATGGACGGTTAATAATGGCGGCACCCCGTAAGGGGCGTCGAATCTTGTAGTTTCTTGCTTCCCTTCTGTACCGAGAAGGGGCGAACATTTTTGGAATTGCCAGGTAATCCCCGGGTAGAAAAATCTATAGATCCTTAAAATATCTCCCGTTGAAGTCTTGGATGGAGACATGCGCGCGTAACTTTTTTTAGTAATTTTGTGGTACTAAGATAGTCCTATCGAAATTAGTACACGTTACATAGTACGGTAATGGCGGAACCGCGCGCCCGGTCCGACGTAGTCGCGAAGAATTTCCGATAAGTCGAGGGTAGATCGATATATCGAGCCGATCGGTTCGACGAGAGGAACCCGAGAGAGGAGCCTGGAGTCGGTAGACTCGTGCGCGAAGCACTACTCGTAATCTAACGTTAAAGACTGACCTTGTGACGTCACGAGCTGCCACTCTGGTTCCCGTTCTCCAGGGCGAAGGAGCCCATCCTGGCCCCGTTTTCGGGATGCCATCCGCGTCCGCCTCGGTCCTCTTTCTCTCCCTCGACGCGTGTCGTTCTTGAGACGAGTCAATAGTAAAAATCCTACAGTATCGATATTAAATATCACCGTGTATCACTGGGTGCTAAGAGGGTGAGCGCGAAGGCGGCGTCTTCGCCCCCGACTCGACCCCCGAGTCCATCGTCCCCTGGCGAGTGCCTTGGCCTTTTTGTCCCGGGGTTGCTTCACTTCGCAAATCGTGTCCACGTCCCTTCCTCGCCTCTCTCTCCGTTCCCCTCGCCGAGCCCCGAATTTCCCCTCGCACCCTTGCCCATTTCGCGGACCCTCCACCCCCTTCGAATCGATTTAAGATCACACTTGGCACAGTCGACCGCCAATCCACGCCTCGCCGAGCCACCGCGGTAGTCGCTAACTATCTAAACCATCTCTAAATTACTAAACCGTCAATCTATACCGCCGATAGAGACGTAATGAGTAACCGCTATCTACACTAGCAAACGCTACATACGCTCCACACGTGTACGACGTAAGAGAATAAATAATAAAACTCTCCCTAAGTAATCTCTCCACCGGGCCCTTTCATTCCTCCACTCGTTCAGGTTCTCCTTCGCTCTCGTTCACCGGCCATGTTCCTATCTCTCTCCGTCTCGATCCCATCGTTTCCCTCTTAAGCCATCCTCGATTCCTCCGTCTCGCTCGCGCCCAAAGTAGGGACCAACCGGTCCGGCCCGATCGCGTCCTCTCCGTCGCTCTCAATTCGAGCCAGCGAACCCTCTTCCGTCTATTTTTCCCTCTGGACTTCGGTAAACGATACACCGCCGATTAAACTAAACGGAGGTTAACGCGGTTCCGATTAGCGCGCGATCGAGTTTCCGCGTCCGTCCTTTCGCGAGCCCGTCGCCGTAACGCATCCCCGCCTTCATCTCTTTCTCTCTTTCTCTCTCTCGCTCGCATTCTCTCGCTTTCTCTCCGTCCCTTTCGCGCATATCCGCCTTTCGCTCTCGCTCACTCGTTCCCTCGTTTACTCGTTCTCTTACGTATTTGGCCATCTCGCGCCTTCGCCGCGTCCGCCGCGTTCTCCACGTCCGCCATCTTGGTTCCGGTGGGCGCCGTGGCGTTCTCTCCCGGTCCTTCGTCTTCTTTTTGGTACGAGCAACTTGATTAACACGACAAGATAAGCGTCATTGCTGCGGGGGTCATTTGGAGGTCATCGGGGGAGGAGGTAGTGCTGGAGACAAGGTACGACCCTGAGAGATGAGACCTCTTTGGAAGCTCATTCTTCGGATTCTCAGCCCTGCGGCGACGTTTGCGGCGAAATGTCCGTGTCGCCGTCGCCCGAGCCCGGCTCGCCCTTTGCCTTGTTCTCCTTCTTCCACTTCATCCGTCTGTTTTGGAACCAGATTTTGATCTGTCGCTCCGACAGGCAGAGGGCGTGCGCGATCTCGATGCGTCGCCGCCTGGTGAGGTATCTATTGAAGTGGAACTCCTTCTCCAGCTCCAGGGTCTGGTACCGCGTGTACGTCTGCCGACCCCGCTTCCTCTCTGCAACACCGAATAGAACGAAACTAGGTTAGATCTCTGGACAAACGTTTTACACGCCTCCAGTTTACAATTTCATAGCGAGTCCTCGAGGGGTAGAATTTACAATTTCGCTACGAACTTCTGGACCGAGGGGCTACTCCCTGGGAAATCACTGAAAACGATTCCCTTCTTCGAGACTTGCCATTGATTTCATACGATAAATAGCAAAGTGACCTGCGGCCTTAAAATAGGGACAATAGATGATTTCAAACGATCTCTGCTCGGGATTTCCAGCTGATCTCCACGCGATATCGAGCATTAAGGCGATGCGAAAGTGGCGTCGAAGAGGTTTCGTTTATAATACTTTTCTCCCAACTTGGTTTACCGAATAGTCCGAAACGTTACAACGCGAATAGGGAGACTATAAGGGAGGTCCTGAAACTCACGAAATTTCAATCCCTTTCAAATTTGTTTATAGGTATTTTGAAAATAGTTTATAGAAAATGAAATTTCGCGAGCTTCTGGACCAAACTTAGGGTCTCCATATTCACGTTTTAAAGCATGAAACGATTTGAGACACCCAGTTCGTAGAAACGTTTTATGAACGATTGAGCCTCCGGATGGCACTTTCACATTCCCGATCCATGACTTCGAGAGGGAATAGCCCCTCGTTGTTGACCGAAAGGACGGAGTACCGGAGAGCTTCCGGAGTTCTCCTTCTCCGATGTTGAACCTCCGGGCAGGATCCCATCCATCCATCGAAATCGTCAATCGGTCGATATCGAAGCCGGGTCTCGGTAGCGAGTGGTAACACGGGGTATCCATGCCCAGGACCCAGACCCCCAGAAGGTGTCCATAATCGCGGGCCCGGGGCCTCGCGGGGTGCAATCCGCAGCGCGCTATCCCCCCGCCCGATCTCGGTGTGTAGCACGAATCGGCCGAAGGAGAGAATATTAATTGCGGGCACGGTGGTGGTTCCCGGCCTCGCAGGCGGGACCCTGCGAGGTATAATCCGAAAGGGTTAGGTTAGCCCGCCACGAGCGCGAGAGGGCACGGGGAATATTTCAGGGCGGCCGGGAGGGGAAAAAAGGAGCGCTCGCCGCCGGGCCCGGAGGGAGGGCGAGGGGGCAGGAAGAAGAAGAAGAGAGAGAGGAATAAGAAGAAGAAAACTCCTTGGCGAGCATTCGAGGCAAACGCCGCCCGTCGCGCTGTCGGCCGATGAAGACGGATGGCGGTTCTCCGCGAGGAAGAGAGACGGAGGACCCTGGCCCGGAAGAAATCCCCGGTGCGACGAGGAGCGCCGCTCTGGACCAGCGGAGGCTGGGAGGGCGGAGGGGCAGACGGATCCGGAGGAGCTCGAGAGACGCCGTCCCAGCGCTTGGGAACACATCCTCTTCTCTACGGACGCCCTAACGTTCCCTCCCTCGGGCTACGCTCTCAAATTAACAACATACCGATCCCTGCCGCCCTCTCGCTCCCTCCGGCTTTCTCTCCTCTCTCGCTCGCTCTCTCCCCCGAGCTGGATCTAGCCGAGCGCCGCCCATCCTACATCGACCGAATTCTCCGCCGATTCTCCACCGGACTCTCTTGGGTGGTATTCCGGGGAAACGGGCCATCCGAGGGACGTCGGCTCCTGGGTGGGAGGACCTCCGCTGGCCGAGGGGGACGGGATGCCGTAATCGAGGAAAGGACCGACTAGGGGCACCGGACGGGACCCTCGATCGCGGTTCCCGGACGTGGTCGGATCTGTATAGAGATTTGGTATATGTACTTGCACGCAATAAATAAAAAAGGAAAAAGGACTAATGCGGTGGATCTACCGAATCAGGTCGGAGATAATTTCAGATGTTCTCTTGAGATGGTTCGATGGACCGAAGGGTTTTGGGTAAATCCTTTTGGGGATTATTGAAAATACTTTCGGGGTATTAACCGGGTACTTAGGTATCTAATATTTGGGATGATTTATTTACGGTGTTTCGGGTAATCTATCAAATGATTTTCTTGAGTACATTTCGCGAGGCCATTTTACGGGTAGTCCGCGGAAATAATGGCGACTCGATTGGATATATTTAAGAAGTAACCGCGGGATGGAAGCGCGTAATGCCTCGCCGCTCCTCGTCTCTTGAGGGGCGCGGGGTTAATTAAAGAGACGGCGACTCCGGTGCAGCGAATGCGCACAGTGCGTGTACACAGAGTGCACGGTGCATCCACCCTGTCGGACAAGTGCACAGATCCGGCAGATCGCCGACCGAGCCAACCGATCGGACATGCGTTTTGCATGCGGCTCCTAGCGCTCGCTCCGAGCGGTGCAACGAGAGTGCATCGAATAAATTACCGATTATACTTTCCCCACGACCCAAAGACCAGGAATCTAAATTAAGACCCCGATAAATAAATGACCAAACATTCCCCAACCCGGGATTAAATTCAAGCGATAGAAAGTTGACGATAAACCGAAGTGCACCAAAAAAAAAAAACAACCAGCCCCGTTTTGTTCCTTCCGAAATGCCATTTTTAAATGCAATCTCTCCTAAACTTCCTTTGCACTCGGCGCCATATTTCCATCGACAGCAAACCGAGGTACGACTATCAGGATGAGTCCTTGAAGAAGGACCCTCATCCTCGTATCACGGGGTCTCTCGAGGGCGAGTGTGGCCGATATCTCTGGTCTCGCATTTTCCAGGTTTCTCACAGAGTACACGGAAAAGTGCGGGGGGGCCCGATCGGGAAAAGTCTCGGGCCGGGTTTCGGTCGGTCTCGCGCTTACGGAGGTGACTTTAAACGCGCGGCAATAAATTAACGGCGTTGGGTTACGCAAGGATCAAATGTCCCCGGGAGTATGCCGAGAGATTTATGGGTCTGCCTTCACTGGCGCGGCATGAAGGAACGAAACGGAACAGAACAGAACGTACACAACCGTCGCTTATTATAGGCTAGTCGCTCTCGAGGCCTGCGAGCGGCCTTACCGACCGGTCAGTAAGTTGGCCGGGCCCGTCCGGCCGCGGGACACGCGGGACTTTTTCAGATTAACGGCTAGCCGGATATTGTAACCCGCTAATAAGGCGCGGCCGGCACTCGCAGCCCAATTAACCCGAGCTTCGCGTAGGTGTGCCCCGAGAGAGAGGCCAACCTTGAAACGCGGACCGATTAGATAGGCCGGCCCCATTAATTTGGCCCACTCGCCCCTCGCGAGAGGCCCGGGCCCTAACATGCCAACTTCGGGCCCAATCCTGACGTAGGTCAGCGTGAAACACGCCGCCGATTTATTGCCGACGTGGAACCCCAAAAACTTCCCCGATTAGGCCCGGGACCACTTTCCGGGGGGATCGCGTTCGATTCGAGAACAAGGATTAGCCCCGGTGCCGGGCCCCAGGTGCTCGCTTCAAAGAAACGGACCCCTCTTTTTGCTCATCCCCGAATACTCGGAAGGCTGCCTTACCCTGATTAATGTAATCCTAATATTCATAGACTTTCGGTGCAAGACCGCGGTCGAATTAGAAATTTCATGCCCCGAAAGGTTTTCTTTTCCAACTCGTGCGGGGAATTTAATTCGCTTGATAAGGATGTTATCACGTTGCGAGGTCCTTTAACACTGCACGGGTCTCGGAGACTTGGAAGGGGGAATTTTTCATCGAGGTCAATCTTGACTCGGGGTGATTTTTCGTGTTTTTTAAATTTAATCGATGTTGTAAGAAATGTCGGGGAATTTTATTAAGCGAGGTAGGGCGAGAGAGCGGAGTCTTCCCTCTGGGAGAGACGAGGGACTCTTCTTGAGCGTCTTCCGGGTAAATCTCCCAGACCGGCTCGTACTCCCATTCGGGGGCTAAAATTAACGACACGGCCCGGTCACCTGCCAGCTTTCCACGTGTACGTTCCACGTGCACCCTTGTATGCGTCGATGATGGCTGCTAAGCAACCCCGAGTCACAACAAGGGTTCTCCATAGGTACCGTGTTCCTCGACCCGCCCGAGGAATCGAAATGCGTATTTCTCTGTATATTCCCCTCCCCTTCGACCGTACCTACCAATTTCCGCGAATACCCCCGATAGGAAATTACGTGACGCCTTGAAGAAATTCAAATCAGCCCCTTCGGTTCTCTTGGTCGTTCTTCGGTGACTTTAAGAAGAGACCCTGAAGAAGCCGCGCCGCGTCAAGTCTGGCGAGTTCCCTTGGAAATAATTCAATTCCCTCGCACGACCTTCGCCTAAGGAGCGACTTTAATAATCCGCCCCGACGTCTTCACCCCGAAGTGACGTCGACGTCGACGTCAGACCATACGTGGGGTCCATCAGAATCCCAGGAGACCCGACATATCCAAAGCGACGTCCCGAGGCTGCATGCTCGAGAGAGCCATGGCGGTTCTCCAAAGCAAAGGGGTATTCCGTGGATCATCCATCATCGTCACCCGTCCCTCTCGCCTCCTCCTGCCAGGCCTCGGGCTTCATTTTCTCCACGCTCCTCCTCTCTTTTCCCCGGAGCCGTCCTCTTTCTTCGGAGGTTCCCCATGGCCGCCATCGCCAGGCCGCCCGAATTTCGTCCGGGATTATGTGGGGAAACGTGAGCTTCCACGTAAAAAAGGGAGCGAGAAAGGGGAGAAAAGTCCTTCCCATGACCCGCGTGAACTCTCGGATTGACCTTATCCATTAACGACTCCGCCACGTGGCTTAAAGAGGGACCCAATGAGAACCCCTCCACCTCCTGGGTGGATTTTCTTCAGGGTTTCTAGACGCCCAAAATGGCGGATCTCTAGAAATTCTCGGGGAAACTCCCTTAAATATCGAGATTTAACCATCGAAGTCTCGTGATAATTTTCGCTTCCTCTCGATTTGGTGTTTATTTAATTTAGGGTTGAATTCATCTCTTTTTTTTCTTATGGGGTAACGACTTTTTTTATGCACCCACGTTAATTTAGGGTAAATATCTCGTCAGGTTTGGACGTTTCATCTCGATCACCAGGATCGAGAGTAGAATGTCGTTCGGCAGCATGCCGCCGAGTAACTCGAGCCCCATCTCAACATGATCGCACCATAACGCGCTTATTTATAAGCGAACCCGTTATCATAAATCTTTCCACGAAGAGGGATTGCAATTATCTCGCACATATTAAAATCCCCAGTCGGTTGCCGATACGCTACATCTTTTTTCTTTCCAGGGCGATTGCCTCAAATCGGAATGTCAGTCGCGATGAATGGCGCTCGCGATTCCAGGTTATACACGTGAAAGTGCTACCACGATTCCGTTAATTGCGTCGCGGAAGCTGGAAATTACGTAGCGAGCGGTTATTACGGCAAATAAGAAGCGTCTTCGGAATCGCCGGAGAAACGAGGAGAGTCGACCGACAATGAATTACCTCACAATTTCCACCGCAATCCAAGAGCAAGTATTAAGTAAGATACAGCTGAGAAAAAGTCTACTCTCCTCCAGGATCAACTGCTATGTACAAAAATGGGGAAAAATATTTTTTTCTGGATTATCATCAAATTGGATAAAATTCACCTCCCACGCCCTGACGGATTCTTTCCCGACGTTCCTCGGCGAATGGGACAGAGTTCCGAAATTCCGAGTCAGTTTTCGCTTTTCATTTTTCGAACGTCCTCGACTCCGATTTCCGATAGGACGCGCCGAATAATCCTATGCAAATGGCCGCAAAATGTAACGCACAACGCGTGCGGACGAATGCACTCGTCTCATCGATCGCATCCGCCATTGTCATGTTGCCAGACAGTTAAGTTTGCAGTTGCAAAAGAGCGCTCGTTTATCACTCAACAGGACGCAGGTGCCAGCGAGTGTCGAAGCTGTCCTAAACTTTCCAATCGCGAAATTCGGCCGGGCCGATAATACGATAGGATATTAAACCCGGCCATAATACCGGCCATGAATACAAAATTCGAGAGACCCGGCAAAACCGAAGAGCAGAGGTCGCGGCCGCGATTTTTTTATTCAATTTCAATCCCCCCCCTCTCTCGACGCGGTCGAAATTCGCGAATCATCGGAAAAGACCGGCAAAAAGGGCCGTCGAAAAAAAAAACAAAAAATGATAACGCGTGATTTACGAGGAGGGACCGCCGCCCGAAATTGTTAGCCGCTCCCGCTAATCGGCCTACCTGAATCGGCGCTCTCAGAACAAGGGCGAAGCACGAATAGTGCCGAAAAGCGAGGCGAGGTAAAAAAAAAAAAAAGAAGAAGAAGAGAAGGACGAAATCTCGAAAAAAGAAATCCCATTTCTCGGAGTCTGTAAATTAGCGCTCCCTCCACCGGCGTGGAAACGGGACAGATTTGGGAATAATCGTCGAAAATGACCTGCCCCTCAGAAAAGGCTCTAATCAGGACTTACACCTGCCATTCGATATCAACCTCGATCCTCGGATGAATAAAGCCTGAATAAGCGATTATCGGTCCGACAAGCACGTAGAGATTTTCTTATCGCGGTAGTCAATCCGCGAGGGTCGAAAATCTCATTTTATTGATTTAAAAGTGAGTCCCTCGTATTCAAGAATTTATTGATCCTCTGGAATTAAATATCGGAGCCACTTTCCAGGGCAGAACGTTTCTTAGTTAAGAGCCGATAATTCTAGGAGAGATAAAAAAAAAAGAGTTGCAAAATCGTCGCGCCCTTAGGGTCGAAATTTTGGGAGAAAGGCGAGCGTGTCGGCGTGAAAATATCGGGAAACCAGCGAATCGAGGTCCGGACCGATAAGCGATCCGGGTGGAGGGGCATCTATAAGTCTCGCCATGCATAATTCATGGCGACCCTCGGGCCGTCTTAGGTTAGGTTGCCGCGGGTTAAGGGAGGTTAGACCGGCCGAAATTCGCGGGGCGCGGGCAAGGGCGTCAGGGGTTCCGGAGATCGTTAGAGTCACGGGCCACGTGCCGACATCTGTGAGGAGAGGCCGGGACTCCAGCCGGTCCGTTCCGTTCCCGTTCCGCTCCGTTCCCGCGTCCGCGGTTCGCTGCACGCGCAGTCGCGAGTGGACCGCTTATCGGCCAATCGCGGCACGCGCTTCGGGACTAGCTTCCCGGCTTAACCGAGAGATGGTACGAGTTGGCTCGTTCACCGGAGTCGCGCCACTGCAGGATCGACGGTCCTGCCGTGCAGGTGCTCCGCAGGTGCGCCGCTCGCCATGTATCGCGTACCCTCCGCGAGAAAGTGAAAATAAAATTCACGATCAGCCCCCTCTGGGTCAATTTGAGAAATTGCCATTTCAATTCTTATCGATTCTCGATTACCATCACACGACCGATCGACTATTAAGGGTATGCGAAAGTGGCATCTGAGACAAAATGAGACTTTTCGCCGAACTGGGTGGACCGAATCGTTTCAAGCTTTACGACGTGAATATCGAGGCTATAAGGAAGGTTCTGACTCCAATGAAATTTCATTTTTTATACTAGTAATCAAATTTAAAAAAAAAAGTTAAATTTCACGGTCGTCAAGACCTTCCTTAAAGCCGCCACATTTACATTGTAAACTTTGAAAGAATTCGATACACCTGGTTCCGAGAGATGTCTCATAAACGAGACCCCTGTGTCCTCACTGTCACGTCACCTTAAGGTAATTTGGCAATTTCAAAAATAACCCAACGTTTTCGAATTCTGGGAGGAAACCTCGACTTTGATAGGATATCTCTCAACAGGTACGAAATCTGGATTTTTAATAGGATGATTCTTTAATGGAGAAAGTACTTCCGGCTGAGATATACCGAACCGACGTTTCGCGGACGGACGTCGCGAGGATACTGAAAATCGCCGGATCGAGTACGAGGATTACGGCCGAGTAGCTGTATTTTCCACCCCCGTAAAGTTCGCACCTTCTTCCGGGTCGGCCCGCACCGGAGACGATAATTCCTGGACTCGGGTAATTCGGACCTCAGGGGTTTGACGGAATAAGAGCGGAATCAGCAGGGGTTACAACCTGCAGGCTCGGCCCTCGCCCGATGGTGCCCTGCGTAAGTTACGACCGAGCTATTATCACTTCGTTATGGCCGTCATAAATCGTCAGCCGGTTACGCCATTCTCAAGAGCCAAGGTCAGCACGGCCCTTCCCTCCACCCTCGACTTTGCCCGAGTTTAAAGTCCCGAAGGAATTTTCAGAAACGTCCAAACTTTCCAAACAAATAAATAAATAAATAAATAAATGCGTAAGTAAAAAATAAACCAAAGAAAACCACCATTTCGGCGACGTTATTTACAATTCCTTGAAGTTTGGCCAGGCAAAGAAGAGTTCAACGCCAGGGAAAAATTGTAGATTAATTCTCAGTGTCCGTATATATATTTTTTTTCTTTTTTCAAATCCGAGATTTAGTTATCTTCGGGGGATGTTCCAGCGTGGAAACGCAAAGATAATTAACGGATTTGATTTATTCCCTCGGCCGGGATCGGGTGAAACGAGGTTGTCCGCGCCGGTCTCGAACGAGGTACAGGTGCCAAGGGTAATCACGCCGACATGTAGAGCAAACGTGAAATATATCCGGCAATTCCTCGCACGAGTCTTCGGGTTTATTCTATCCCACAAAGTCGCGTACCTTCCAGCTTTCGTCGAATGATTAACCGGCCTCTGTCTCGGCCGACCATCCCACCGTCTCTTCAGCCGTGCGAAAGTGCGGATCCAGAGTCGGATCTAGAGCCACGGTTCGGGTTGCCAAAATAAGCAGGATCGAATCGACTCCGACAAACGGATTCGCAAAGAGGGAAGGGGGGATACACAATCGATGGCTTACGATTCGCGATACGTCGACGACAATCCCAAATTAACCCAGGTCCGACATCCAGGTCCATTTTCTTGGCGTCTCTTTGTCGGCGCGTTCAATGAGCCGATATCGGCGATCGGGGTCTAGGAGTAAAAATAGGCTCGAAAATAGGTGGGAACGTCGGACGATCGGTGGGACGATCGATTACCGAGGGAGGGGAGGATTTCCCTATTAAGAGGTAATAATCGGATCCGCGAAGAAGTCCGCCCTGGCGAGCGTCGAGGGAAAGAAAGATGGCCGAGGGACGTGGAAATAAAAGCGGAGAGGCCGGCCTCCGTAAACGGGGGGCAAAGTGGAGGACGCAACTTTTATGGGGTCCGGTCCATTCGTGGCGAAACGCCGGGCTAAAGGTCGGAGCAATAAATAACTCGGATTGCCAACTCGTACCTAGAGAGCTGGAGATATTGTGCCTCCGCTCGGTCAATTGGCACGCAGCCGCGGTACGAATCCGGACCGACGCGGCGTTGCGTAAGTCCCGGGACTGCGTGCCCCCTACCTGTCGAGACTTCCGGAACAATGGGGAGGGACTATAGCGGAACGAGGACCTTGAGACCGTTTTCGGAAACCATAACACGTACCTCCGAGCCCGCACGAGCGTCCACCGCCGCGGTTTCCATCCCGCCACCGACGTGACCCAAATGCAGCTAAATGCAGAAAATCGGAGCCCCCGATGCACCTCTACCGGGCATCCGTCGAGCCAAGAATCAAGCGGATCCCCAGAGATCAAACAAAAAATGACAAATCGGTCGTCAAACACCTCGCTGCCAGCGTAATGGGCAAACAGTTCGCGAGATGGTTGGCCCTGGCGGAAGTTGGAACATTTGAGCAAGCACGTCTCCCCCGTGCGGCTCGCGCGAGGCGAGATCTCCGCCACTCCCCGAGGGATCGGTTCGCCAGAGGGGGAGGAAGGAAAATTGCCGGCAATTCCGCGAGAGGGTACTCACCGAACTGACTCCTCATCCACGGGTAGAGGGGACTGGGCAGGTTGGCGCTGGCCGCGCCCTGAGGAGCGCCCTGTTGCTGCTGACCGAGGGGGGACGCGACGACGCCCTGGTGCGCCTGAGGCTGGGGCTGCTGCTGGGGGTGCATGGCGGCCGGCGGGGGCTGCGCGGTGGCCTGGGCCTGCGGCTGCTGCTGGGGGTACATCATGTGCTGCGGCTGCTGCTGCATGTGCTGGTGGGGCGGCGGGGGCTGCGGCTGGGACTGGTGTTGGGCCTGCTGGGCCTGCATGTGGGCGTGCTGGGAGTGCATCTGGTGGTGCATCTGCGAGTCGACGAGGGGCGGACTGTCGGGCCCGTCGAGGACGCTGCTCTGGTGGTCGACGGCGGCCGCCTGGAGCTTGCAGCTCGCGTAGACGATGGGCGTCGAGGGGTGCCCGTTGGGGGTGGGAGTGTGCCCCATGTGGGCCATGCCCGAGGTGGGCGAGGACGAGCGGTAGCCGGCCATGCCGTCCATGCCGGCGTGTTCCTGCTGCTGCTGATAGTAGTTGGCGTTGCGGATGTCCATGCGGTTGTAGGGTGGAAACCTGGGGTAGGGCATGGCCTGCGGCCCTTCGGCGGCGCCATAGTGGTGGGCCGGCACCCCCTGCCGGAGGAGGCCGGGGTCGCAGGGGTCCGAAGCCTGCTGGGGCTGCTGCTGCACGGCCTGGCTCTGCTGGGGCACCTGGACGGCAGCCCCGTAGTGCTGCTGGTGCTGATGGGGGTGTTCCACCCCGCCATTGCGCAGGTCCGGGATGTACGAATTCGCAAAGTACGAACTCATGCTACCGTATCGCTGCTGGCGCGCGGTCTCTCTTTCTTCCTCTCTCCAAATCGCCTTCCCCGATTTTCTCCTCTCCCTGGCTTTGTCCTCCGTGCGCCCGCTTCGCCCCCTCTTACCCTCTTCCCTGGCTTACCCCGCGTCCGCGTTCACCGACACTTCCGCACTTCTGCCGCACCTCCACCTCGCACTCGATCGGATACGCGCACTCCTTCGCGACGTCCTCGCACTTTCGAGCGGCCTGAGACCACTCCGTCCGGGTGGATCACCGTTTCACCACCGAGACCGGACCACTAGGGGGGGCGAAGATCGGGGGAGGGATCGCAATTTTTGGGGAGCGGTCGTCACAGAGTTCTTCTTCGGAGGCCGGTCGGGTGGTGCCCTTCAATTCGCCCTGCCGCTCCGGAAGTCTTCCGCGATTCCGTCCAACGCGCTGAGGACGCTACGCCGCACCTGCAACGGAATTCGGGAAAACACCTTGGTTAATATACCGTGCAGAGGATGCGACGAGCTTATAATTACTTCGCATTATTATTTCGTTATGCCCTGGACCATCCCACCTCGGACCTACCCGAAACGGGGGCAATCCCGCTAATAGCGATACTCGGCCAAATTGCGCCGATCCCCGCACTATGGCAACGCGCGTGCCAACGCAACGCGCAACGCCGACGCAACTGAGTTGCGGATACTGACTTCGCCGATCTTTGTCCGAACGGGCAAACCTCGAATGAGCCAAGTGGCGCTGACTGACAGACGCCGAGGAACACACGTGCTCGTCACGGTGACGGCCATCGCGCAGACGTTCGACTCTGACGGTGCCTCGTGTGGGCGGGTTCTCGAAGACTGTCGTTAAATTTGGACAAACAACTCCTGGACCCGAAAGGGGGTGATTAACGGCGGCATAAAATTAATAAAAAAAAAAAACCACGATCGTAGTCTTCTTACAAAAGTAAAATATTTTTCCCCCGAAAGACCTCCCTTGTACTGACTTCGTCGAAAAGAAGAACCGACAGAAGTCGAGGAACGCACGTGGTCGTCACGGTGACGGCCATCGCGCAGAATTTCGACTCTGACGGTGACCCAATGACTATTGTTAAATTCGGACAAACAACGGCTGGACCCAAAAGGGGGTGAACCACGGCGCCATAAAATGAAATACAGCCGCGATCGAAGTCTCCTTACGAAAATGGAATACTTTTCGCGCAATGGAACTCGCTCTAACCGAGTTCGCCCGAAAGTGCGAGGCTGACTGACAGAAGTCGAGGAACACACGTGCTCGTCACGGTGCCGGCCATCGCCCAGACGTTCGGTCGTGGGCGGGCCAGGGGATCGTTAAATTAGTAAAAAAATCCTCCCCGCACCGAGAACATGGCCTCCGAACTTGCCGACCGGCAGCCATGCCCGAACCCCGAGAGGTCCCCTTTGCATAGAGGCCGAGCAAATCGTGCGTGCAATATTAATTCGTGACCGTCTTTCTTGTCCCGATTTCTTGCGCCCGGTTCATAAGCGGCAGCTCCGTGGAAGCCCGCGATATGTATCTCAATTCATAGTACCGAGTTTCAAAGAGTTTATCGCACGCCACGGCTAAACAACCCAAGGACGGTCGGTTCGTCTTTCGCAATTTGCGAAACGGCCAAATGGAAATATGGCGAAATTTCCTACGACGATGGCAAGAAGTGGCATTGCGAGAAAAAATTCGGAATTTTCCCGCGACGTCGAAGGGACGGCTATTTTAAGCTGAAGGGAGACCACAGAGACTATGGGGCATCTTCTTAATCCATTATACAGGCGCCATTATGGTCCCAGCCTGTTCCTTCGTTTGCGCCCAAGAATAGTATATAACGGCGCCATTGTTGGGCGTCGCGGTGTACTCCCGCTCGCGTGAAATAGTAAAATGGTGTAATTACGGCGCACCAGCTAGCGCGGACGACAGGTGTTGGCGTTACCCTCGTTACGCGAGTAAACGCAGCAAAGAAGAGGTACTTCGTTTGACGTTTGACCAGACACGAAGGGGGCGCCACGTGAAGGGGGGCCAAGGGACGAGACATCGCGTGTGGCGTAGCCCCGTGGGGATGCTCGATTCATCATCATTTTCCGAACCCTGGAGAACGGCCCTCTTCCGGCGCGGACTTCTGGAGAGCGGAAACTTCCGCAAAGTCAATGACCGCGGGCCTGCGCCACCCACGACACCCGAAAATCCTAAAAAACGCTCCCCTTGATCAAGTATCGAACGCCCTTCTCTCAAACACGAAAATAAAGGATTAACTCAGAATGATCGAACTCATCGTTATTCAAATTAAATTAACAAATAATAATTTTCTTAAGCGTTCTTAATTTTAAATGCGAGGGAGTGGGAAGTAACAGTACTCCCCACGATCAAACATCAAACGTCCCATTCTGCGACGTAGAAAAATAATAAAAAATAACCTGAGATAAGTTAATAAATAATTATCCTAAGCATTTCAATTCAACTGCGCTCGGGAGCAAAGTCGACCAGCGCCCCTTCGAGGGGAGGGGGTTGAAAAAGGTAGTCCGTATCGGGCCGCACCGGATATACGCGTGGCGGCGCTCGGGGTGGTTCCGGGGAGTTCGGGGGTGTTCGGAGGCGTGGGGTGGACCCTTGGGAGATTGCGGGCCGTGCGGCACACTCGAGCGAGGCTCGGCCGGACGCGGGACGATCGCGATTAACATTCCGGCCGCTAGCTCGCTGTTCGCGCGGCGCTTTCATTAATTCCAGCGTATTGATTCCCCAGATTGATGAATGGCCGCCGATAGCGATTCCGCGCTCCCGGTCCCCGGTATAAATCCTCCCTCGCAGCGTTTCGACTCAATTCCGAGCCAAGTTCCCCCTTTGTGTCCGGCCAGGCCGAGGACGAATCCTTCGTGGGTTGACTAATCGCAAAAACGGGTCACCTCCATTTAATGAGCTCTCGAATCGTTTTCCTATAAAATCGGAAAAGGAAAAGCTGTAGCGACTCCTGGAACTACGTGACAGACCTGCAGCTTGGTCCTACCTCTCAATAAAGAAATGAAAAATATCTATCAAATTTAAGAGTGATTTTTGTGGATTTTAATGTATTTTAAAGTAACAGATTTAAGGAGCCTTGTATTTCCAGTGAATATGTTACTTATGGATTTTTATATTTAATGCTTCTGGGTTGATTCCGACTTTTCCGTGGATTGTAATCGTTCGACTTGAGGTGGTTCTCGTTCTAGACTCCATGGATCGTTCCGGTTCGGCGAACGGCCTCAGACTGCGCTCGGCTCGGCCGGTCGGCCCTTAATATACGGGCACCCGGTAGAGTAGACTTTGCCGAGTGGCGGCATCGGACGGAAAAGTCATAAACTAGCGGGCCGATGGAGGGATTAAGAAGTTCTCGTCTCGGCCGGTAGATGGCGGCGGCGATAATGCCGGGCGGGAGGAAAAACGGGGTGGAGCGAGCCTGACAGCTGGGAGGGTTCGGGGCCAAGGTGATTGAAAAGAGGGTGGAGCGTCACGTGACGCCATCACTGGATACGAGAGATGACGTCACTCGAGCCATAATGGCCTCTATTCATCAAAATGGCCACGCGCCGAGCCCGTTTCTCCGTCGTTTTGGACTTCCTTCCTGAGACACGAGTTTCACCCAAACGTATAACCGATCTCTCATCAAACTATCTTCCATTATCCATCCTGAACTAAATTACGCACTGAAAGGCGCATTGAAGAAACTCTAATAAATCGTTAAAATAAATTCATTTCGAAATAATTTTCACTTATTACTTCTTGGCGCGTTCTTTCTCCGCAGGACTCGTCAAGAATATTTAGATTATGTGTCAATTAATGTGGAAGTTTCGTAAAAATTTATTTTTTTTATTTCTTTTTAATAACCGATCTTTTTGCAGGTTAGGAGAGGTCGAGTGGTCGAAAAAGGAAGGAAGCGACCGGGGCAACTTCGGAAGTAACCGAACCGTCAAGGAGGACTATCGAGGCCATAAATGGCACTAGAATGTGACAGTTATGGGCCGTGGGGCTCGTGCCAGCCGTTGGCACGCCATAAAACGCTCGTAAACAAAGTCGCTCGTAAAATAAGCCGAACACATCCTTCTCGAGAGAGGGAGGCCGCCAGACTTCGCGGCGTAGCAGTTTGCCATGCCGAGCACAGAGGGAGATACCTGCGACCGTCACGATCGCTTCAAGATATTGCCGCTTTTGCGAGGCCCTCGCATTCATCAACACCCCGAAAGAAATAAATCCACCGTAGTTAAGAGAAACGCGGCACCTCGCCGGATCCTCTCTACGGAGGTAATAAAAATTCCGGCCCACTCGGTAATAATTAATCCGCTCCCAGACCTAACTTCCTAACTCCACTTTTACATATTCCATTGCACGGAGCCCTCGATCGATGCTTAAACATCCCGCCGACAATATCTTCGTAATGCCACGGAATGAAATTCACAAGAGATCTTAAAAAAATCTGTCACTTGAGATATTTAGCAAAAATTACAAAGAAATATTTAGGAATTATTCCATGCTACTAGGGAAGTACCCCACATTTTATTTCACCAGTATGTAACTTTAAATCCGTGAAAATCGAAAATAAGAAAAGAAAACTCGGACGTTCGCGGAATCGGCGCCAATTCGCTCGGATTCGGGCAGGGTGTCATGGCTGCTGGGAAGAGACGTTCTTTCTTGGGGAGACCGGCGGGGCATTACGGATCGAGAATCAGCCCCAAAAGTTAAGCGCACTTCCGTAGCGACCGCGCAGACCCGCTGGCATGTGAAATCTTCGCTGACGGCCCCGGGGGGTCGGGCGGCCGGAACCCGGGGGTGGAGGATCGATATTCGCACCCTCGGCGAAACCGCGGGGAGACGGATATATCCGCGTGTCAAGATACGAATCTACGTTCTCCGTCACGGCTCGGCGGGGAATTCTTCGGGACGTTTTCCCGAGCGAGCCTCGCGAGGAGAATCCCGCCGGCCACAAATCATCGGTATCGAACGCGACCCGGCCATCGGCACGGGGCTTCGAAATTCGCACGTACGGCCCTGCCTAGCGTGTACGACTCGCATGTACAAGTCGACCCGTTCATCCCGCGGTAATAGAATCCGAAATCCTGGACGCCATGGTGCCCTTCGGCCCCTTTAAAAGTCCCCCACCGGTGGTATCTACTCGTAATCACCCGTACTGAAAAACCCAGTACATTGGAATCACGAGATATTCCCTTTAAATATTAATCCGAGGTTTAAACAACGTTCTCTCGCAAAAGGGTGAATTCTTCAAGGTGTGGAATGGAAAATCCTGGACGGTGTCGCGCCTTCCTCCGTCTTTAATACCCAAGAGGTTAATAATGTTCTTCCATAGGAGGATGAATTTTCCAAGGGACAAAATTCAAAATCCTCGACGCCCGGACGTGTATATTCGTAATCGGACGGTTTTAATTACACCAGGATATCATTACGAATACGGCTT